ATAATAGGAAGTAGTGGTGTGATAAAAATAATTCTGTAGATACCAGTAATTCAAGTATAAACTGGATATTAAAAACATTATTAACAAAAGGGCTATTAGATCTCTTCAAAAAAGAATCCACCTCATAAGGCATTTTCAAACTATGCTTTTCATACTGCACTGTTCAAATATACTGTATTTGTTCCTTCAAAGATCTGCAGGTTAATGGTTGTCCCCATTATCATATCATGTAGTAATTTGGTGTTCTATAAAAGAGCTGAAATGAGACTGAGTAGATGAGATTTTTAAATTTTCCCTAACTTGGAACGTTACTACATTTGAATCACAAATTGTGGTTTATAATAAATTTTAGTTATAAACCAATATTTCACATTACAAGCAAATGTGACAAATCATAGCAAACTAAAAGAGTTATTCAACATCTTCGATTATCTGCTACCTGGCAGGTATAATTTTAACTGAAAAACCCTGTAAACATGTACCTTAGATTCATCTTTAGCTCTGCATTGTACTGTTCAACCTGAACAGAGGAAATTTTTAAAAATCTCCTTGTTTGTACTATTCAGTAGACTGAGTCTAGTTAGATGTAGTCAATATGCTAATGCAAAGCTAGATTAGAAGTAAATGGTCATCAGTTTAGTCATCAGCTTGCTGTTGGAAACCATACATTCAATTTGAGCAACTATTTTGGGCTCCAGATTCATTAAGCAAGAAATCTGCCCACTCCACCATCTTGAGGGCCACAGGAACTCCCAAAGTGAGTACAGCTCTATATTTTGAGGTGGATGGAAGAAAACTATTTTTCATTCTGTGTAGGGGTTCAGTAAAGATCTTTTTCTGGCTCTCATTAACACATTGCACCTTCTAACACAGAAATGTTCAGCTATAGCTCCAAGATGCTATGAAGCCTCCAAAAACCTTGGAAGTAACTTCTAGAATCTTCCAACAGTTGCCTATGTATGCTGGTTTTCAACACGACAGAAGAGGTTGCATGCAATACATGTGCAATAACCATGTATTTAATTATTTTCACCTAATTTCAATTACATGTTCATTATATTGAAGCAAATACATTTGTCCTGGGTCTGCCTCCTTTTTGGTCCTGTCCGCACCTCCTTGGGAGGGTACAATTCCAAATGTCACTCAAACACCACCAGCAGCTCTCAGGCCAAAATATTGTGCATTCCTGACCTAAGGAACCAAGTGATATTGTTAGCACTGGAAGCTTCAGAGTGGTGGCTACCAAATCTAGCCACAATGTATGATTCTCCAGAAGGTGCAGTTAAAGGGGGAAGAAAGAATAAATTAAAAGCACAATCATCTGCAGACATTAAAACACAAAATCCATCACATTTTTTCTACAGAGCTAACTCCTTGAATGATTATGTTCTTTATGAAACTGCTCCAATTTTTATCATTTCTTCCTTGCTTGACCCTAACACTCTCTGCTAGGGAAATGCTGCCCTTAAAACACCTTTTAAAGAAAAGAACAATCAAGTTAAGAAAAACCCTTTAATTGCTGTGTTTTAAATAGTAATAGCAGCATGGCCATAACAATTTGACTGTCAAATTGTATTATTCTTCTTCCCATGATGATTCTTATGAATTCAAGCTCTATGTGCTTAAAGCTAAAATCTAAACTTATGAATTAGTTTCCTGGTGTACAAAATATTCTATTTTTAAAGCCAGTCTCCCCGTTTATAGATTCTTTGAGCAGACAGTAAAACAGATGCCCTTGTTGTCCGTGCAAATGGTTTGAAACCAACATGAGCCAAGTTGGTGAGCTGTTAGAGAGATGGACTAGGACTAGGGAGACCCAGGTCTAAATGTCCACTTAGTTATGAACTCTTTAGCCATGGCTGAAACAACCACTGTCTCATATCGCTCTGCAGTGAGATGGGCAGTGACAAATTTGAAATATAAATAAAAATAAATGTCTAAACTATCTTCAAGGTTCCTATGAGGGTCAATAGCAGTGAGGGTGAGACAACCGCATCACTCCCTGGAGCTCTTAGTGGCAACATAGAATTTCAACAAAGGAGTAATACGGTCTGTAGCCCATCGTGCCCTAAACAGCAAGAAAATTTTAAAACATACCAGAGTAGTGAATGGTAAAATACAAAGGGAAGGGGAAAAACCAACCGGTTGTAAATGAAATAATACTAATACAAAGAATATGTAGAAGACAAGGTGCTCATTTTTACAACAAAAACTCGAATAGTTTTTACCCTGTTTCATATTGTGGCATTATTTGTGATAAAATCCTTGATCAGCGTATCTGTTTCTGCCAAATATACAGATGTCTAATTTTAATAGCTGAAGTTCATACATTTTCCTTATGCCCAGATTATGTCTGTCTGTCTGTCTGTCTCCATCTAACTACCTTTATTTAAAATTCACTTAACAGATTGCTTATCTGAGTTACTCATACTGGCACAGGCTATTGTGGTGCGATAGATAATAATAAAAACAAACAGAGAAGAAGCAAAAAGGGCATTTATCAAGTTATTCTTATCAACTTTCATATGGCATGAAAGAAAACTGTGACTCACACCACTGGAAAGTGAGAGCGCGTTGTGAAGTGATACAATATTCACAACTGTTGCATCACTCACAATGGTTTTAAAAGCAGAGGTTTTTATTGGTTGCGGGGGGAGCACAACTCACTCGGACAGGCACTCAGCAGAATGACCTTTCTTCCTTATTGAAAACTGGGGTCACGCACCAAAACATGCAGGCTTGGTGGCCGCAGCATCAAATTCCTCTTGCTGTAAAACCTTCTAATAGATTCCCCATATACCACCGCTTCAGCACCCAAACAGCACTGCACTACCCTTATTAGCTGAACCAAACTAGCTTTATGAATAGGTTTCAAAATGACCCGTGCCTGATTCAAGATGCCATCAGACAGGACACTGTAGGGGAAGAATATGTGAGATGCTCTGGAGCATGATCTCACGTAAGTATTGTCCTCCCACAAGTTAAAGCCAGAAGGAGAAAGGCTGGGAAGCCCTAAAGAAATAGGTCTTTAGGACCTACAATCCCAGGGGAGACGCTAGAGATAAGCGAACTGACTTTTTCAATATTAATACTCTCATCTGGCTTAGCTGATTATTTGGACAACCTGGTTGGCTGGTTTAATGGCATTGTCCTGATCTCTTAACTTTTGATTAGTAGCAGCTTTGAGCACGACTAACTTTACTATATGTTTTAAAGAAACGTTATGCAAAACTCATTCACTTTGATGACATTTCAGTGGGACCTTCAGAAGTTGTGATGTTCTTATATTTATTTAGCAATGAGGTGGTCCTGTTTTTCATTGTCGAATGATCTCTCTAGAGATCTGCAGCCTGTTTGGGCTTCCCACATTTCATTTAAATCCTAAGGGAAAACGTCACGTGGATACCCCTTGCAGCTTTTTCATACTGGACTTTCTGTGTTTAGCAGAAAGCATCCATTCAAACATAGGTGCAGTGTCCAGTATATATAAAAGCAAGGGTCTAGTAATTGTGGTTGCATACAAACCATAAATATTAATTAAAATTGAATATCTGAGATTTCAGAACTCTTGCAACCTTTTTTAATTTGTTCTGCATAAGACTGAGGATAGAAATTAGTTTATCCACCTTACGTCAAAGGGTTTTCTGTGAAATCTTGGGCACAAAGGTAGTCCTCATCTCGGTCAATACATTTCCTTCCCCTGCTTATCTTCATTTCTGTATTTTGCCTTTCATTCCATTTGTCTCCTATGGTGAAGTTTTAGTTGTTGTTTGGTTTTTTCTGGCTGTTAATTTTTAGTATAAAAATGCCATGTGTATATCTTTCATTGAGATTTTTTTTAATGTTTCTATATCCACGTCCACTGACTGCAGCTTCCCACCCAGCTATTCCATTTGTCTCCTATGGTGAAGTTTTAGTTGTTGTTTGGTTTTTTCTGGCTGTTAATTTTTAGTATAAAAATGCCATGTGTATATCTTTCATTGAGATTTTTTTTAATGTTTCTATATCCACGTCCACTGACTGCAGCTTCCCACCCAGCTTCCATGAATAAAGGCAATATAAACAAACAAATGTAAAAGTGATTCAAACTACAATATGCTGATGATTATGTCAATCACAAGAGCATACAATTTTTCAGAACCCTCCTTTAGAACAATGATAAGCATCACCAAGATTAAATACTATTCTTCAATCATAAGTGCAACCAATAGAAGAACAACATTGAGCAAATCTGGAAGGATTGCTATGGGGCAAGTCACTTGGTTTTTCAAGAACCAGGTTCTTTTCCCGGAAGCACTGGGATGTTCAAACTTACTGATAAGAGAAGGAAAGGTTTATTGGCCACATCTGGGCAGTTGTAGAAGACTGTGGAATGATACCACCTATCAGTGTCTGAGCATCTGCCAAGGAAAACATTTTCCTGAATGATGACTGTGAGAACTGAGATGATTCCAGTGGCAGGCCCTTGTTGCTGGCCACACACACACAAGCTTAAGCTGTCCCAGTGTGGTTTCTTGTGAAGGCAGATAGAGCTATCTGCACACACTAGAGGGAAACGTCAGCAGCTTTAGGGCAAGCTCTAGTTAGCAAACATTGAGGAGGAAAATCCCAAAACAACATAATAAGAGGAGAAAATGCTTAGCTCGTAGACTAAGTGTTGATATCAAAGAAGTGATAGTGTAAATAGGATAATTGGGACACTTCATATGATAATGTTTTGTTGATAGGTCTCTTTGTTAAGAACCCTCAAAATGTTTTCTTTAATGAACGTGAACACCAGCTTAATGTATCTCTGTGAGCAAAGTCAGTATTAGAAAAATTCTATGATAACAACTAAGACACATTTTCTTTTTTTTAACATGGTTCAAATTTTTCCCTAGATTCCATTTACTTTCCCCTGGAAATCACATTAAAACATTTATCATCATATATTTGTATACTTTCTGCTTAAATACCATAGCTGATACAACATGCTCTTTAGGAATAAGATTCAAGCATACCTCTTCGACGAAACTATCTTTCTTGTCAAGCATTTCCCGCAAAGTCTGGAGAATTTTGATGCAGAGTTTTTCTTCCTTCTCCATTAGCCTTTTTGTATGGTTTATCAATCTTGAAATAAAACATGAAGCAAAATATAACACCAAGCACAATGGGCTTATCCTGATTATTTGTCTTTGCTCTTTTTCATATTATATTTGTATGGTTATTCATACTGTGCAGTTCATGAATGGTTCTGTTGTAAATGCAATATTTGCATTTATACTCAAGCAAAGGAACAATATATAGTCACAATTTTCCAATAGAAGAGAACGTCTGGCACTGATGTTACCTAGTTGGGTAATGAAACATCTGCAAGCAAATGACCAAGCTTGGAGCCTTAAGGTCTCCACATACTCACAGTCTCTAGACCTATATTGCCAAACTGATCCTCTCAAATGTTTTAGATTACAACCCATTTTGGATAGTATTGTGGGAGGTGAAGTCCAAACCATATGATAAATATTACTTTGGAGAAGACTGCTGTAAATAAACTGTTTAGCTTTGCTGAAAGCTTGGCATCATCCCATTATTGAATAGCTCAGTATAGAGAACAAAGAGAAGGGGGTTGAATTACAACCAAAAAATCCAATCAAGTTTTCTTCAGCCACTAGGAAGGGGTGAGCCAAAATGAAAATGGGTGGGCCTCATTTCCAAAGATAATGTTCCAATGTTCAATAAGTGAACATTGGTGAACTTTTCAAGACTGGTGGATTTGGCTCTTCCTTCCGCTTAGCTGGAGGATGGACTAGAAAAAAGGATTATGCTTGCCAAAGACTGAAGGAAGCAGAAGACAATGATAAGATGGATGGGACCAAAGAGAACTGCTACAGGTTCTTGGAAGAGCTACAAGTTATTACTAAAGACAATCAAGGAGGTCAACCTCTGCAAAGCAGAAAACCTGTATAATTTTGTTGCTTATTCTAAGTTTGCATAAGCTAAATTTGCATGAGAAATTAGTTCAAGGAGCTAATACTAGATGCTTCTGAACAGACATCCAGATGGTAAATCAAAGTTTCAGCAACCAAAAGATAATGGGGATTTTTTTTTTCCAGCCTGCAGAACACATTCCTCAAAAAGAAAATGAATCAAATATATATTGGCACATTATATTTTGGAACACAATGTACAGTTAACCAGATAAACAACCTTTCCCAATGCTGTAGTGTCAGTAGGATTGCGTTCTAATATATTTTCTATTAACACTATCGGGCACCAATCTGACAAGATCAAAATACCTTTTATTATGTACAGAGGGAGCAGGGGGATTGTATAAACAACCCCATTTCAAGTGCAAAATCTTCCATTTTGAACATAAAACATTCTTTGAACATTCTGAATGTGTTCTGAGCCCAAATGTGGGTGTTTTGTGGTTGGAACAGAGCTGTTTAAGATCAAAAGGTTTGAAATGATCCCATTCTACCCTCCAAACAGCTGGTTTGCACTCTAAATGGACTCTTTTGATTTGAAACATTCCCCACCACCAGGAAGCCAACTTCGTATGGGCAAAAGACTGGTTTTCACCTCCATACAGTGGGTTTCAGAGCCCAGACCATTAACCTTTTTCTTTGCAACTAGAAACCATTATGGACTAAAAAGGCTTTATCTCTACCTGCAAAATGTACAGTTGTTCCAAAGCCACTCCCAGACTTTAATTCAATCGTATGATGTTCTGGAGATGTTCTAACTAATAACCCTTTTAACACTAATGGAATGGAAATTACTAAAGTGTGTTTCCTTCGTATACTGCTTAGAACGTCAGAAACATATTGTGTAGCTCATATTCATGCCAGTATGGCCTCTCCCTGAAGTGCTCACGGTACCATAAGATGCCATTCCAGTGGTTCATCTTGGGTATCTGATCAGATCAAGTCAAATGGGAATAAACTACTGTAACAGCTCTCACTTCATTAAAGGGTGCCTTCAGCCTCCAAAGTAATTTAACCTTCACTTTCCATGTTATGTGAGGATGACAAAGATGCAACATGACAAGAAACATGATAGAAAGTGAGCAGTCAAATATGTTTCAGAGTGACTTTACTGACTTGTTTCAGCACTTACTTGGACATGAAAGCGCCACATCTAATTCTAGCATCGCTCCCTTCAGGAAAGAGAAGTTCAGGGCTATGTAAGACATCAACCAACACTGAAAATTCAGCTTGCATCATAGGACTGAATTGCTCTTCCAAGGAAGCCACCACATCCTAAAAAATGACAATAAAAAAGAGATGCTTTGCGAAGGCATCTGGACAATAAAGTGTCCCTAGTTTTCCAGCAAACACAGTAGGACAAAGACTGTTTTCAACATTTTCCCATTTCAAGGGAACTGAGCTGATATAAAGAAAACATATAACTGCAACATGTTATTACTGATTTCATTCAACAACTCAAAAAATGATAATCAGTCATCATCTAGATGCTGCTTTAAATATGCTGTTATAATTAACATTCCTGGTGGATTTTCCCTAGCCAAGCCCCCACCCCCTGACTCTTTCCTCTTTAGGAAGGGAATCCTTGAATCAACTCATTATATCAGCATACGTTAATATTAATTAATGCTAATAGTTATGTAAGCACACATCTACCAGGCATGATCCCTGTGCTGCCACAACATTACACTGGGATCAATTATGCCAGCACCTTTGATTTGGATGGATATTAGGAAAGAAGACACATAAAGACAGAGGCCCACCCAGGAAGAAGAAGAGAAGGACGTAGGTGGTGTAACAGAACAATTCCAAGAAGTTCTTCTCTTTATGATATTGTCAGGCACTCTGACAGCTGCCTGAGCTGACAGTGATTTTTTTCCCAGACACAATTCTCAAAGAATTCTCATCAGCAAGATCTTTTGAGATGAAAGGTGTAGAGGTACAAGTATTCTTGCCAGTGAGTTAGTTCAGTTTAGAACCAATATACATCTAGACAGAGATTTCTATTCAGTTTCTTATAGTCTTAGTACAAACCAGCAAGGAAGTGATGGTTTGCAATTGATTGTTTGCAACTGATTGTTGCACAACAGTCTCTAGAATCTTATTCATCTGGGAATCAGCTCTTACAGGTATCCTGCTCTATTTTTCTAGGTATCGTGCCCTATTTTTCTCACATGTGCCCACAGTACTGGGGTCCCATTAACTCATAGTTTTCCTTATCCCTTGGACTTTGGAGGTGGGATGAGAGGTTTTGAAATCTAATCACTGCATTTCAAAGCAAGTGCTGGGTTCAAAACAAGGGCCCTTCCTATTTCTTTTCTTTTTCTTTTTTTACTATCATGGAAGAAGAGCATTCGAGGTTAAGTTGTTTTAATGAAAGAGGAAATTATTTAGCAAGAGTGAAATGAGTATGGTTGAACCAACATAAGCATGGTTTGTACAAGCAGAATGCCATGAGTTGCTTCCATAGAAAATAAAATAGTGGCCTATTATTAAGTCCACTAACATAACTTAGGCAGAAAGTTGGATGACCAATGTTAGGAACCCAAATCAGATATGTTTATTTATTTGTCGATTTTTTTTGGCAAGTCGTTTCTAAGCATCATCCCTCCAGGACTTGATAGCCATGTTTAAAGCAAACAATGAACAGAGCATTTGGATACACCATTTTCTATCATACCTGTAGCTTCTCAATGATATTCCTATAATCCCACGAAGGTCCTCCAAGGGGCTCTTTAAAGCGAGGACCACTACGAGCAGACATCCGCCAACCCATGGCTGCCCTTTGGACCATATTAGAGTGACTTTTCATGAATAATGTATTCACTTGACTATCCAAATCCACTGGGATCGCAATTCCACGGTTTTTTGCTTTGGAAGAACACCATTAAAAATATATCAGTACATATATATCTATGACAGTTAATACCAGCAAAGAGGCAAATTTAGACATGTTTGACATAAAATGTTGCTGATAATGGAACTGCGTGTCTTCCTTCCTTCCTTCCTTCCTCCCTCCCTCCCTCCCCAAAACATATAGATGTAAAATTGGTAAAACTGCTGAAAACTATCAGCTTTGATAGAAATCAAAATACTAAGCAGCCATCTCATTGGATTCTACAGGTAGTCCTCATTTAACAACCACTTGTTCAATAACTGTTCAAAGTTACAACGGCACTGAATGAGGGGGGATTTACAATGGGTCCTTGTAGTTGTAGCCATCGCAGTGTCCCTGTGGTCACGTGATTGCAATTCGGGTGCTTGGCAGCCAGCTCGCAACTATGATGTTGCAGTATCCCACAGTCTCATGATCACCATTTACAACCTTCACCGATGGCTTTCAGCAAGCAAAGTCAATGGGGAAGCTGGCAGGAGGTTGTAAATGGTGATCATGAGGGGATTCACCTAACAATAGCAACCGGGACTGCCGGAACTGCAGTCAGTGTGGTCACGTGACATCGCACCTTACAACCACGTTCCAATTACTGTTGGTACGTGAGGACTACCTGTACAGGCAAGATAACAATATTTAGAGACATTTAATGAGGTTACATCACCCTCAGTACATTACACTCTAATGTAATGTAAGGAAAAAATACCTATGATTTCTACAAGGCTCATCCCACAAGGACAAAGCCTTCATGTATTTTTGCTACAAAATACAGTGGCATTACTTTATGTCTTGATGAAAAGCAAAAGCATTTTTCATTGCACAATACACTAAAAAGCCAACTCATTTCTATGCCAACAAGAAATGTGGCAGCACATGATTGATAAGAGTATTTATTTTATTTATAACACATATTTATATATCACCCAGCTCCCAAGACTCTGGAGAGTTTACAATAGTAAAGATTAAAAACAGAAATCAGCCACAACAAAAGCTCCATGGGGAAAAAAACATAATCATCATGACTAAATCAATTCTTCAGCTAGAGTTACAACAATAGAGCCCACATAAAAATAGCAGGCCAGGTCACCATGAAACTTTCATCTAATAAAATTTAAAATCATAATCCAATGACCTTGTAAGTAAAACAGTCTTTACAGAAGACTGCAGAAGGTCACTTCTGGAAGTGAGATGGGAAGGGCAGGGTCAGAACTTAAGCAACCTTTCCCTGGACACTTGCACGAGATGGAGTTTGGAACCAGTTTGGAGCAGATGGTCCTTAAGAAACCTTGTAGAGAAGGCGTGAAGGGATTTTAATTGGACTGAAAGACTTATTGGTAACTGATGTGGCAACTGTAGTATTGGTGTTATATCGCTGTGGCAGTTCTCCCCCTCTAGTAGACTGGTCACCACACTGGTGCACAACATATTAAGCTGAACCCAGATCAGGGGCCACAGTGGGGTCATTTGGTGCAGTTTTTCAATTACCTGGGGCATAACAGAGAGATTCTTATTGTTTCCATTCTGTGCACCCATTCCCAAATACCCTGTAGCATTGTCTACAAGATAACGATGAGGTCAGTGATCTTTCTTCCCAATATGATTTCAGTTTTTCCAAGGTCATGGGAAATACGTTCTACCTAAAGTTATCATTTTGCCTAAAAGCTGATTCATCCTTAGCAACAGACCTGGTATAAGGAACTCTGATTCTATTTCTAAGAAGCAAACATCTGATTCCAGAAGTTCTGAATCTTTCTTCTGTTCATGGCTTTCTGGAAGCTGGTGAAAACTTGGCTCTTCCAGAAACACCACGCCAAGCAAATTTTACTTCACTAATTTTAGTAACTAATTTGGGGAATTAGATTTTGGATTTTATAATTTTAATCAATTATAATATTGCAACAGTTAAGGTGTTAGATCCAGGTTCTAGCCCTCCCTTAGGCATGGAAGCCAGCTATGTGACCTTGAGTCAGTCACTCTCTCTGAGCCCAAATCAGCATTAGGCTCTGCAACAATCAGCTGAAAAATAAAAATTTATTTTAAAATAAAAATTTATTTAAAAATAAAAAATTTTCCTTGTGACACCATGCCTTGACAGCTTCTCTTTAAGGACCGCAGTGAGGATAGTGCTAAGCAAGAGAACTCTGAAACCAAGCAGGACAAATGCTAGGAACAACAACTAATTATAATATTGATTTTTTTTTTGTACCGTGTTTTATTTTGTAAGTTACGTAAGCTGTCTACAGCCTGTTACTTTTCAGTCAGTGGACAAATCAGATAGATAGATAGATAGATAGATAGATAGATAGATAGATAGATAGATAGATAGATTGATTTTAAACATCTTGGGAAGTTTGTATCCCATAATTAGGGATATGTGTAATCAAGATAATATACTCTACTATCCATGTCAAAAGGTTTCCTGTAAATCAAGATCATGATTATTTTTTAATAGTGCTATGAAAAAATGTGCATCTGCTTTTGTTCAGAATCTCCTCTAACCAGATTACTTTAAGAAGCGCTATAAGCTCCTTGAACTCCTTTTTCAGATCTCCCTTTCCAATCTTTCTTTCTCTAAGCAGTCTCTTCATCCAGTTTCCCTCCCTAAGCATGGAGACATTTCCTTAAACTAGAAAGAAAGAAAGAAAGAAAGAAAGAAAGAAAGAAAGAAAGAAAGAAAGAAAGAAAGAAAGAACGAGCTCACCCAGAGAATTTTGTTTAAAAACCTCAGACAATGTCCATAACAAAGAAGAAAATTAGGGTACTTTTTCAAAGACCCTGAGATAATATATGCTAAGAAGTCCACCTATTGTAGCAATGGTCTAAAAAGGGTAACGCTAAAAATACATTTTAAAATTGTCTATAGGAAGTAATGCGAACACTCTTCGGGTCCATATTAAAGCTCCCTTAGTATCAGTGCAAGGTTCCTATGAGCTGCAGACTGGTTTCTAAAAGGAATGAACAAAATCAAAGAAAGCAAAATGAAATAGTTTCTATTGCTCCTTCTGCGATCCTCCCATAAGGGTTAATCCTTGTATTTGCTCATATGACTTTAAACTACTCTACAGCTGATATAAAACTAGATCATCTTACTCTGCTGTTATTTTAGAAGCCTCTCAAGCGAGTAATACAAAAATATTAACCACACTTAAAAGGAGAAAAGGTTAGCGAACGTCATGGGGGACTCAGTGCTGAAAATAGTCTCAGGCGCTACAAAAATGGCTCCTCGGGGTCATCCTTTGGGAATATTTAGCTCCCAAATGGATTTTTAAAAAATTATATTTATTTTACAGATCTTTGAACCCACCCCAATCCCAAAGGACAGATTTCCAGATGCAATGAACATTAATTCCTATAATTCCAATCAGGATACCAACTGAGAGAACTGGGATTAAAATGCAACCCACTTGGGAAGACTATTTTAACCCCAAAACAAGAAAGTTCTTTTCTATTCAAATATTCAGATAGCAAACAGTCCTGTCATGGAGACAATCTATCTATGCCAGTGTTGTCCAAACTTGGCCACTTTAAGATGAGTGGACTTCAACTCCCAGA